TCTCTCACTCTGAAAATAAATAAACATTAAAAAAGGAAAATGTGACCCAATCTTAACAGATGACATCCTCAAGATGATCCTCATGTCAGAATGATCACACATGGTCTTTAAAGCAGCTATTATAAAATTATGCTCATGACATTTAAAGAATGCTTATAATGAATAAAAAGAAATCTCAGCAGAGAAATTAAAAGCATAGAAAAAATGAAAAATTCTGAAATTGAAAAATATATCTAAAATAAAACTTTTCCTGGATAGGCTTAATATATATTAACAGCAAAATGAAAAAAACTAAAATTTTTTACATTTTTTTAAACTTTAAAAATATTAATAGCAGAATGAAGATAAAAAAGAGTCAGTAAACTTGAAGACAGAGCAAAAGAAATTATTCAACTTTCAAAAGAAGAGAAAAAAAGTTGGAAACAAAATGAAAAGAGACAGGGATCTATGACATAATACCAAAAGGTCTAAAATTATAAATTTCAGGCTATTTTTAAAGGACATGTAAAATATTTTCTAATTTTATGAATGTACAATAACAAAGTCAATACTACATGAGTTCTAGTCTCAGCTATATGCCTTGCTATTTTAACCTAAGACTGCCAGCTACTCTCTTTGAGGGCTCCATGCTTTTTCCATATAATAAGGGCAATGGTTTTATATGGGTTAGTGGGTTTAGCTGCTCCACAGAACCTCCAAGGGAATTTTTTAGAAATACAGGCCTTACCTCTGAAGTTCATGTTTCGAAGGCCTGATATGAAGGGGGACCCGGACAGATCTGCCTTTTCCTTGATGTTTCTTAGGTTACTTGTGAAGATAAGCCAACTTTGAGAACGATGCTAGATTTTACTTGGGGAGCTACGCAGCTCATGTGACAGGGATTCTTGGTATTAATAGCCTGTAAATTCTCAAAGGAAGGTTCTCTATACAGATGTAGAGATATGATATCCACCAAAATCTTGCAATCAAGTTATTGGAGAAAGGGGCTGTACTTTATTATCTTTATTTTTATCACAGCAAAACTTTTTAGTAAATGTTAAAGGCAAGAAAGAATCTTTGAAATATGTTCTATGCCACTCCCCTAAAAGATTTTTTTTTCCTGAGAGAGAGAGCACAAGCAGGGGAGAGAGGTGGAGAGAGGTGGAGAGGGAGGGAGAGAGAGGGAGGGAGGGAGGAAGAGAGAGGGAGAGGGAGAGGGAGGGAGGGAGGGAG